ACAAGTTTTTTTGCCTCCCGCCAAGCTGGAAGAAGGGGTGTTTCAACCCCTTTAGCTTGGACAAGTTTTTTGCCAAAAAACATGTAATGGCTGAGGAAGGAAGAGCTTTGGTAAGATATCAAGCAAGTTGTCCGAGATGATGAAACACTGGAAGAAGCTTCATATAATCCCTGCTTGTGCCTTTTTCTCAACCAAATGACAATCTATACTCCAAGTGTTTTTTTGTTCTTTCAATGACCAGCTGGGATTTGCAGCAATGTGGTAAAGCATTTGATTATCAACTAACAGTGTTGTCGACTTAGAACACTGGAATTTTGAGATCATTGAGAAGGTAAGTTAACCATTGCCTCACAGGTACTAGTACGCAATGCTCTATATTCTGCTTCGGAGGAAGAACGAACACCATATCCTTTTTTTTGGTTTTCTTCAAGAATTAAAGAGTTCCCCATGAAGAAACAATAACCTGTGACTAGATCGCGTGTGGAGACGCAAGTTGCCCAATCGCCATCACTAAACCCAATTAGGTGGATAGGGGAATTTCCGTTGGAAGTAGAGCCCTTGTTTGGACAACCTTTCAAGTATTTAAGACCTGTTTGCAGCACCTAAATGATACGTTGCCAGATTTGCCATGAACTGACTGTATGCTGGATCGTCAAAGACGATGTCTGGAACGAGTTCTTGTGAGATAAATCAAAACGACCAATGAGGTCGCCTATAGGATAGATGGGATCATCAGTAATTTCACTTGATTAGCTTTTTTTTTAAAGCGAGAGAGTCTATCCATAGGAGTGGAACTCGTTTACAACCCATAATCCTAAGATCTAAGAAGCAACCAAGGCAGTATTTTCCGTTGAAGATACAAATAAGATGCCCATCATCAGACCTACTTACTTCTCAACCCAAGAAAAAATTGGAGTCTCCCAAATCTTTAAATTCGAAAAGTAGATTGAAGAAATGCCTTGATCTTTTTTATTTCAAGGGAAGAGTTGTCAGTTAAAACAATATCATCAACGTTATCAATAGAACCAGTAAATTTCCCACTTTTCATGCTTGATAAACAAGCTTGTGATCAGCATGTGATGTGAAATAACCAGATGAGAAGACGAGGTTAGAAAGGTGTCTCATATACCAGTTTCGACCTTGCTTGTTTTTAGCCCATAGAGAGAATTTGTGTGAGCTTGGCCAACACTGTGAGGATTTCATACCCAATAGAACCGGTTGAGGGAAGCGTCATGTAAAACTTCTTCCTCGGAACAAGTCTCCTGTAGAAGACGGTGCATTACTAACATCCAATTGCTGCAAACGACGGCAATTATTTTCTGGAATCTTAGGGCAAGATACACTCCGTTATGGTATCATTTTAACCACTGGAGAAAAAGGTTTCAAAGAAGTCTATCCCTTCCAACTTGGGAGAAATCCGTGGTTTTGCAGACAAGCCCGCGCGTAGTTAGTTCCACAACTCCCATCTGGTTTTCTTTTGATTTTGTAAACCCACTCTACATCCTATGGGCCTTTGACAATTCTTAGGAAGTTTCCACATCTCCCAGTTTTGTTTAGCTTTAAAGCCTCATTTTCCATCCTTTCCAGGCTTCTTTCAACACGCCTTTGTTTCAAATGTGCTTCCCGTGATAGCTTTTCGGGGCTCAATCTCAGAACTAATGTTTTTTTTCAATGAAATAACTGAACGCTCAGACCTCAGTAAATGGAAGAAATAACAGATTGAATAGGAATACCTGCACGTTGATGATGAAATGATTTTTTTGATTTGGTCCCCCTATGTTGTAGCAAACAAATCCGCAAGTCGAACATGTAGGTTTAGAAGCCACTAGTGGTTCGTTCTTGGTAATAAGGACTTACGGTTTGGATAGGTGAATGAATCAGATATGTGGTGAGATTGACTGGGGATGGCAGAGTTTACGATGAAATTTGTGGAGAGGGGTGACAGTTGTTTTGGAAGAAGGTAAGGTTTTGATGTGGAATTGGAATTGTGGGATGAAGTGTGTCCTGAGTTGTAACATGGGAGGGGAATCAAAGTCCATGGAAGGTTTTTGTATGTGGAGGAAATAATTTTTTTCTTTTTCCTTCCCTTTTTTCGTGGGCTTCGTGTTTGTCATTAAAAGGAAAGTGGGAACTCAGAACAAACATCTCTAAACAAATTATGTCTTTGTTTTGTAAGTTCTAGAAATACTAATAGCCTTTTGTGCCAATTTGAGAGCCGAAGAAAAACCTCCCTTCTCTAGACCGAGGTCAAATTTCTGTTTGGGTTCCAGTGGGGTGAGATAACATAAATAACCCAAAACTCTAAGCAGGGCAATCAGGTTTTTGGTACTGTAAATTCGTAAAGGAGTATGTTTTTCTTTTTTGTACTTAGAGAAGGATAACGGTTTAATAAGATAACCTGCATGTTTTTATTGGCATAAGACCAAAGGATGTTTTGGGGCAGTTGAGATTGAAACATAGAGCACCCCACGTTGCCACATTTAAGAATATGTTGGTGGTTTTCTTCTCAACCACCCCGTTTTTGGTTTGAGGGTATCAACACAACTGGTGTGATTGTTATCATCCCTTTTGAAGCAGAAAAAAAATCTTTAAAGAAAAAATTCTGGACCCATTATCCCGTCCGAAATTACATTTTATTTTCTGTAATCACTTTGAATTTTTTCAACTAGAGAAATGAAATTTTGACATATTTTTTTACTTCGTATTTTAAGATTTCAATAGAACCAATCCAAGTAATCTACTAATCCATCCAAGATAGTTAAAAAATATTTTTCACATGAATGATGCTTAGAAACAAGGTCCCCAAATGGTCCCCTGTTGCACCAAATCAAATTTTTTTTTGAAGCTCTACTACCTAAGGAATAAGGAGGCAATTTTCTTTGTTTTTGAAAAAATGACATGTCACAATTTTTCATTAAATATGTTTTTTTGGAATAAAAGGAAATTGTTTCCACATACACATTTGAATCTGTTTGTTTTCCTGAGAGTGTCCTAATCTAATATGCCAAAGTTTTTGGGAAGTTGGAGATGTTATGGGTAGCCACTTTCATTAATGGAAGGTTTGGTTTGGGTGAGAGAACCTTGGCTTCTTTGTGGGACGTTGGCAAATGTAAGACTTGTTGAAAAAAAGATTAGCCAACCAATCATCCCCAACGTACGCTTGTCCTGGATAGTGCAAAAAAAATCATGGAAGATAAGGATATATTTATGAGTCAGTATGAGTTTGGATATGGATAAAAGAATAAAATGAAAGTCCGGAACAAACAAAACATTGTGAATAATAAATTCTGGAGAAAAAATTACTGTTCCAGATATATGGGCTATAAACAATTGACTAATCCAGGTACCTTATTTGTATTGGTTTAATGTTAGAATAATTTGAAAAGCAATTTTAGAGAAAGATGCAACATGATCTGTGTCTCCGAATCCTATGATCCAGGGGACATTGTGAGTGGCGGAGGAGGTGTGGGTGTGGTTTTGCACAAAACAAAGGATATACCACTGGACTCAGATTTGAGCGTTGATTGAATTCACTTCTATTGGGCTTAGAATAGAGAATTAGCCCGGTTTACATCATAAAGCATTCTTTGTTTGCTGTGGTTGGAGCCACAGACATTAGGGTTTGATATTGGCATGGGTCCACGTGAATGGGGCCCTCCCTCCTTCCTGACCGTTGCCTCTTCGGTGGGTTTTCGATCACCACGCACTGTTATGGAGGAATAGCCAGAAGCATCCGCGATTGAACTTCGGCCTCCTGGGTTAATCGAGGATGAACCAGGATAACCATGTTTTTTTTTTCCCAACATCACGCCAGAGTGTGGTCCAGGAGGTGACATAGGAGCAATTTTTTTCTTGTTGGAGGCTCCGTTGACATGGGAGAAGGACCGAGCCACGCCCTTTGGGCGCCGGAGAAAGATGTGATTTGCTGCATTTCCAAGGTGTTAGGTTCAGTAATCGTAGGCGAAACGAGTTTGTCGTCCTGCGGTACAAACCATGGAGAAAGACAAAGTTGCATACGAGGGAGAGGATTCCATCAAAAAGGATTTGGGTGGAACGCACACAGAGAAAGCGTTCTCCAACCTTTTGAGGAATCGGATTATGAAACTCCTGTTGTGGTAAAGTTTTTGGGCAAAACAAGCAGAAAAAAGGGCGCTGTAGTTATCCGAGTTTTTCTTCCCAAGGGTCCTTTCAGTGCTGAAGAACTCAGAACATAACGAGTTTCCCTTGAGACAGAACTATAAAATTTCTTTTCCTGGGCGCTAAACGATTCTGAAGAAGATCAACCTTGCGAAAACGTTTCGCGAAGTCAATTTCCAAATGTTTCCTAGGCACATTCGAGGAACAAACGCTTTGGGCAATGAGGAGTAAACCGAGTTGATAAACCAGACATGACTAAGGTATTGCACCTTCCCAAGCAGAATTTAAAGTGGTTTTCTTCAACCGTAGGGACGGGGAATGGTGCCTAACAAGAAAAGCGCATCTTGTTTTTTGAGATTAAAGCCATCTAATGGCAAACGAAACCGGACTGATAGGTTTTTTTTGCCTCGGACAGGGGTTTATGGAGACAGAGGAAGGTCCTTCACTAGGGTGGATGAAGAAGGGACTTGATGGGTTCATGGTGGGATCAGTGGCTTCATGACCACGATTTTCTGTTTTAGGACCTTCATTATCGGAGTTCTTTGGACTAGGAGGAGGAGTAGAAGACATTTCGAAGGAATAAGCAGAGCTCCAGGAGGGAGCTCTGATACCATACAACGAAAGATGATAAAAAGGTGAAAGTATTTGGGAATGATCAAATTATCTCAGTAATAGGTCATCCAATATTTATATACAATATTTCCTTCTATTCCTAGACTCCTAATAGCATAAAAGACAAAATAACAAAGCAAAATGACAAAAAGAAAAGAGTGGTTTGCGGAGTGGTTGCGGAGATTGCAAGTTTGTTATAAAGGAATATAGTACAAGTTTGTTAGTATAAACTATTGTTGAGATATTCTTACCAATAATGGCGCCACAATGCATATCTGCATAAGGTTCCTCTCCTGTTAATAACTCCCACATTGAGATGCCAAATGAGAAAACGTCAACCTGTCAAAAGTCATTCCACAAGCTGAATGACTGTCAAAAAGTCATTGATTCTTCTATATTACTAAATTTTATATTAATGGTCTCAAGTTACCTTTTCAGAAACACGACTGCTATTCCCATTCAACAGCTCCGGTGCCATCCATGGAAGGGTTCCTCGCACACCTCCAGATACAAGGGTATTGCGTTTAATTCTTGATAATCCAAAATCTCCAACCTAGGCAAAAAATAATCAACAACTTTGAAAAATAAAATGTATGCCATATTTAGCAATAAGCAACTTCATAAAATTTCATTAAGTTAGATCAGACTAATATTTGTCTTTGAAGCACATGTTGTAGTCGCCTTCTACACTGTGATTTTGCCTAACCCAATGTACTTGTAAAAACATAGGAAATGAACCATGTAGATGGAGCTGCCAAAACAGAGAAGTTCATTCCATGCTGCATCTAGTTCACACATGTTTTCTTCAAGCATATGCTACAAATCTTATTCAATTCATCGCTATAACTTTACAGTGCTCAAATACGAATTGACAGGGATTTCTTCATTTCTCAGTTTTTAGCCTGACAAAGTAGGATCTTTCTCACTTACAATGGAAATTTTCACCCCATTAAGTCTAATGATTTCCTTAACAAAAATCTTAACTATAGGCTTGCAATATAGGGATGCCGAAGCAAAAATGAAATGTCCAGATTTACTCAATTTGTCCATAACTACCACCACTGCATCAAAACCTTTAGATTTAGAAAGACCCACAATAAAATACATAATGACTTCCTCCCATAGGACTAGAAATGGGCAATGTCTGCACTAACCTTGTTGATGGAGCTTGGTATTTTCTTCTTTGGCACACATCACAGGTGACTAAATACTCTGTTAATGTTCCACTCATCCCAATCCAAAAAATTGACCATGCCATTCTTCTATAGGTTCCGTAGATACCTGAATGTTCCCCTGTGGAAGTTGTATAAAATGCATGCAAAAATTTAGCAACCCATGGGGAGCATGCTCATAAAACCAATCTACCCTTGTAATACTACCTGCTCTGCTCTAGACTTGAGCACAAATGTCAATTTGGATAATTTTTTAAATCTACCTTGTAATACTAGGCATTCACAACTTGGAAGCACCCAAGTTGTACACTATCTCAAATTCATACCTTATTAGCTTTGCCAGCCAATTTTTCTTGTTTGGAATAGTTATTCTCTGATCCAATAGATTTCTATAACTTTTCTGGTCTGTAAATATAGTAAATTTCTGATATAACAGATAAGGCCTCCAATGTTGGATAGCTAGTACCAAAAGCATCCATTTTTTTCTTGTAGACTGATTTAGCAAGTGTAATATGAAAAGGCCTTGCTAAAATATGCAATAGGTCTTTCATTTTGTGTCCACACAACCCCTATTCCCTCTTTTGATGTAATATATACTAAAAAAGCTATCCTTATTTTTCTAAAAGCGCACTTTTTCTAATTAACAAAGACTGTTTTGTTAACTTAGCCAGCACATGCCTCAAATGATCCATATGATCTCCCCATGCCCTGTTCTGTATCACTATATCATAAAAGAAAACAAGGACAAACCTTCCAACGAAGGGCCTTAAGATAGAATTCATGGTGCATGATTAACCCAAAAGGCATTACAAAGATTCATACTAATGTTAAGGTGTTATAGAAATGGTTTTTAGTACACTTGATTCATGCATCCTAATTTGATGATACTCTACCCTAAAATCTATCTTGCAAAAGTACATAGCCCCATTTAATTAATCCATCAACTCCTTAGTTGCTAGGGACACTGGTACAGTGGCTTAGTTTAGAGCATGGTAATCCACACAAAACCTTCACCTGCCACCCTTTTCCTTTGCCAAAGGGACTCATGCCTAAATATGGGGCTACTGTTGGGCCTTATGACCAGGCTCTCTATTTCCTTTTTCAGCAAATGGGGGTATCCTCACAGTCTTACTTTGACTGAATCTATCTCTGATTTGATAAGAATTTGGTTATCCACATCCCTTGGTGGGCACGATCCTTTAGGTTCTTGAAATATTGCTGCAAATTCATCTAATACCCATTGCAACATTCTGATTTGGGCAATTATCAACACGCTTGTTCTTCTAAATTGTTCATCTCTTCAAACCATAGCATGGCCATTTAGCCAACTTCCTCTTTGGCCAATTTCTTTAGAGCTTTGGGGGATATCATGGACTGGATGGGCTTGGATCTCTTTGTACTTTTATATTCTGCCCTGTATGTTTAAAAGTGATGCTAAGTTTTCGAATTCGCTCTAACCTCCCCTAAAGTGACCAACCATATAAATTTTATTGTGTAGAATGACCCAATCATGTCTTTATGATAGTTTGGATATTTGTTACTTTGTATTTAACATCATTTTGTCCGTATAATCCCATATATGCAATGTAGTATGACATATGGATTTCATTAAATCTCTTACTCTTGTTCCTTATCATTAAACATATTGAAACTTGACATCTAGAATTCTTACCTTGCATATTGGTCGTTGTGGATCCCTTAGATTCACAAGCAAATTGTCACATTTCAAATCAAAATGGACAATATTTTTTGAGTGCAAATATTCCATACCGAAAGCGGCATCCATGGCAATTATTAGCTTTTTACGGCGATCAAGTAATCTGCACAAATGAGTTGAAATTTGGAACGTGCATAAATAACATTCAAAATTATATTGAAAGAAAACTACTAAGTTAGAGTACCTATTGTTCTTTACAAGGACATGCCTAAGGGAACCATTAACCATGTATTCTGTTACAGTTGCTAAGGTTCCTTCCGCCCCATCCGGTACTATTCCATAAAATGCAACCACATTGGGATGATGAAGATTTGAAAGGATTTGTGCTTCTCTCCAAAAATCTTTTGCCTACCAAAGCCATGAAATATTGTAAAATTCAGTGCTCAAGTGACTTTTCCTTCCAACACAAATGAACAAAGCTACTTTTGAAACTAGTATACAATTCTTAAATGAATGTAAACTTTGTAGAAAAATGGCAAAATAGTACGTAAGGCATGTTTTCCCCTTATTGTTCAAATTTAAATCCTTACGTTTTGATTCATTTGAGTTCAAGACATTAATAAAATTTAACTTCCAACATGATATATATGGGAGAGAGATACAAAAAGAGAGAAAAAGGACAGGGTGAGGGACAAAGGCAAGGGGGTGGAAGAGAGAATGCAAATGCATTTGGACTTAATCCGTTCACTTTATTATGAGAAGTAACATTAAACATACAAGTAGATTGAGATGTAAATATTATGTCATTCAACATAAGAAAGTTGTTAAGAAAAGAAATGCATTAAATACTTACCAACCGTTCTTGCTCAGAAGACCTTCCAACAAAGCAACTCTTTTTAATTCTCTTTATAGCAATATCTGTTCCCCGCCATTTTCCATGATAAACAGTGCCATAAGTACCAGAACCCAACTCTGTAAGTTCTTCAAGATCAGCATTCCTTATTATCTGAATTACGTAGTATAAGAAATCAGTTATAGAATAACAAATGTAAATGTAGACGAGCACTAGAAAACTGGAAACTATTTATTAACAAACACAAACAAGTCAATGAAACTCTAATGTGACTCTAATGTGAGAAACATATCATAAACAAATAAATAAAACCCTTCTTTCAGGATTATTTGGAGCTAGAACTCAATTTTATCAAATTACAAACAAGAGAGTTTGGTCTCCCTGTTTATCAATAATAGAAATAGTTGTATTTGTTGTTCATTAATTTTTTCTTCTAACCATTGTAGGAGGAGGGATAAGAAGTATAACTGATTATGACAGTTATAACCTCCTGTAAATGTTCTGTTTTTATTCTTGTAAACTGTTTTTTCATGAAAACTGCCTATTTTTAAATAGTCAGTGTAGAGGGAGGGAAAAAGGTTGTTGTTTTCCTAGGAAGTAAGGAGTTGAGGGAGTTGAGAACAACTCGAAAGTCCTTCTGTGTTTGATCTTTTACTGTCTTCTACCACATTGGCAGAAACAGTGTTGTTCTAATAAAAATCTTCCAAGAACTTGTATTGTTGGTTCTTTAATACTGGTTGAATATATCAATTGGTATCTAGAGAGCAATCTTGGTTCTGTGGGAGCCACGTGTTAGGGTATGGTGCATACCAGAATGGAATCAAGCATGGACACTGTTGAAAAGATGATGCAAGAACTGGTTCAAGATCGTAAAAATGTGGTAGAAGATTAAGTGCAATTTGATGGTTCAGTATCTCTGGCAGCTAAATACGATTGGAACTTACAACAATTTGATGTAAAAAATGTCTTCCTTCGTAGAGAACTTGAAGTGGAGATTACGTGCAATTGCCTGTAGATACAGTAAGAAAATTGTTGCCAATACTGGTTGCAAACTGAAAAGGGAATTGTATGGACTAAGCCAAAAGTATGGTTTGAAAGGTTTACTAAAACCATGATAGATTTGGGCTTAAAATAAAGTCAAAGAGACCACATATTGTTTATTAAACACACTGAGGGGCAGTAACAGTGTTAATGGTGTATGTGGATGATATTATAGTGACAGGTGATGATGAGGTGGAGCAACAACTATTAAGCCAACATCTAGCTAAGGAGTTTGAAATGAAGACACCTTAACAGAAAAAATTACTGATTTGTTAAAGGAAACTGGTAAGCTAGCATGTAAGCCTACACTTAAATATATCAAAGATTAATTGGAAGACTCATATATTGGTCTCACACTAGACCTGATGTTGCATTTGCAGTAAGTCTAGTAAGCTAGTTCATACACTAGCCAAAAGAGATTTACTTACTGGTTGCACTAAGAATTGTGCAATAATTGAAAGGGACTCCCAGCAAGGGAATTTTGTTCAAATGAAATGGAAAGGAAAGTAAATATCGAAGTATATAGAGATGTGGACTAAGTTGGATCAATTATGGATGGAAAATGAACTACTAGATATTGTACTTTACTTGGTGGGAATCTTGAAACTTGAAAGAGTAAAAAACAAAATGTGGTAGCAAGATCAAGTACTGAAGCATAGGTTCAGGGCAATGGCACTAGGGACGGATATGTGAGAACTACTATGGCTGAGAATCATCTTGTAAGACTTAAAATAAAGTGGGATGAACCAATGAAACTAGACTGTGATGATAAATATGCTATTAACATAGTCCATAATCCAGTGCAACAAAATATAACTAAAAACATTGAAATTGATCGACATTTTATCAAAGAAAGACAGGGGTCAGATCTGCATTCCATGTCTCATCTCAAAACAACCTTGCAGACCTTCTAACAAAGGGGCTGAATAGCAAGAACTTTGAAAGGATTGTTTTCAAGATGGAAATGGAAAATGTACATTTACTAGCTTGAAAGGGAATGTGAGCAATCATATTATATTATTCTATATTTAGCATATTATAATTAAAGTCTATAATGTAAATATCCCTAAATCATAAGGATCTAATTATATCCAGAATAATAGAGATCTGATTAAATTCCTAAATAATAGAGATCGATTATATTCCTAAATAATAGAGATCTTATTATATCACAAAATCATAGGGATATTATTACATTAAGTGTTGTTATTATATTTCCAAAATTAGTTTTCATTCTTGTATATATATTTGATGTACTTTAAGCAATAAATTATTGTATTCTATCCTAATATTGAGAAATTGTTCACCAATCGATAAATAAGTAAAAGGTTTAGTTAGTGCTTTGATCCCTAAATTGAAGGCAAATATTCAATTGATTCCCTTCTTTCTTTTCTACCCAATTGAGTCTCGATTTTGTTTAAAATCATGCAATGTTGGCCCTTTCATTAAATTGGAGCTATCGTCCATTGGTGGTGCCACCTGTCAGTATCTTGATTTTTTATTTTTTTTAGTTTTTTTTAATTTTTTTTTAGTTTTTCGTTTTTCTGAGTTTTTTTTCATCTTTCATCTCCTTCCTCTTTCTCCTCAAACTACCCTTTCATCTCCTTCTTCCTCCTCCCCCTCATACCACCATTCCATCTTCTTTCTCCTCCTCCTCCCCCACACACCACCAACCCCAACTCTGCAACCTCCTCCCTCACACACCTGTCCAACACCAATTTAATGGAAGAAAGTGTGTGATCTATGATGCACTTGAAGATGAAGGTGATGATGGATGGGGAGAGTGATGAAGTAATGTGGAAGATGAAGATGATAATGGTTGTGAATGTGTTTTAGAGGAAGGTGAAACTGTGATGGTGGGTTGTAGATGAGCTGAAAAACATGTGTGGGTCTCTCTTATTCTGTATCAGTATGGCTGCAGTGGAGATGATAGAGCTGGTAATGATGACGTAGATGAACAATGGAATGGTGGTGGTGTGGAGGTTGCAAAGTTGGGGTTGGTGGTGTGTGGAGGAGGAGGAGGAGGAAAAAGATGCAGGGGTGGAGGGGTGGAGGGCTGGTTTAGGAGAGGATTAGGAGGAAGGAGATGGAGATGGAGGGATAGTGTGGAGAGAAAGAGGAAGGAGATGAAGGATGAAAAAAAGCTCAAGAAAAAAGAAAACAAAAAAATTCAAAATAAAACTAAAAAAAATTAAAAATTCAATATATGGACACGTGGCACCACTAAACAAACGTTAACATCAATTTAATTGGAAGGGTCAATATTGCCTGATTTTAAACAAAATTGGTATTCGATTGAGTCAAAAATAAATATTGAAAAACAATTGAATATTTGTCTTCTATACAGGGACCAAAGTACTAATTAAACCTAGGTAAAACTGTCATTTATGGCAAATATCTAATAGCTAAGGCTTAATAGCCACGTTTGTTATCTTTAGAAGTTAAAGTAAGAAACCAGAACTGAAACATTTCAGTGATGGTCAACCTGTAAACCATAAATGCTAGCCTCCATTTCTGCTATCATTGCATCAGAAAAGAATTCATTTTTGTCTTCATTAAAATCCTGTAAATAAAAGAAAAGAGAATTAGGAAGACATAAAGAAAATATCATTAACATTTTATTTCAATTTTTCATACCTCAGGCTCAAACCCAGGGATGATGCTCCCAACTTCTGTATGAGATAGGGATACAACACTTCCAATATCACTAGAAATATAAGGATTAACAACACGAGTCATGTCTGTTACATTGAACGTCTCCACTTGATTCACATCAGTGTAGCCTTCTAAAAAATTTTGTTGTTCTGAAACTTTATCTTCAACATTTGACATTCCAGAGGCATACTGTTTGGGGATAAACTGATCCACCACTTGACCAGTGCTGGTAATGAAGTCATCAAGGAAAGGTGGTGCCTTTTTAAGTGACATAATAGTGCCTGATATATCAGGGCCATTCATAGGCATGTTTACACTTGGACCAAGATCATCACAAAATGCAGCAGGATACAAACTTCCATAGCTTGCTGTAGGATTTTCTTCAAAAGCTACATCCATCTGATTCTTCGAAGGATGGATTTGTGCAGCTTTATGAGAAGCTGGATGAATGGACAGCTTATTAGTATAACCTCCTCGGGAACTTTTATCACTGGAACCTACTTCAGAATTTAATATTGGAGCATTTAATTCAAAATTTCTGGTCAATGAAAAATCAAACCCTTGTACACCATTCAGACCTTTAGCCAAAGCGTTGATTTTGTGCTCACTAGTCCTTTGGCTCATGTTAGAATCACATATGGTCTTTTCCAAAAAATTATTTAAGGAGAGATCCATCGTGTCTGATGGAATAGGGACAATACCCTCAAAAGGTAGATCCCAATTCTTTTGCATGTTAATATTAGCATTTAAGTTATTAGCAGGGAAGGAGTTCAAGAGATGCAACTCAGTCACAAATCCCTTGTCAATGGCAGTTGATTTCCCCTGCTGAACCTTGCTATCCTTGGGAATAAAATTCTTTTGTTCAACTATCTTCATCCTTTCTAAATTCACAGAATTTTCCTGAACATCCTTTGCATCGTAGCTGGGTATACCCAAGTCAGTTTGAGCAATTGAGTTCTTTTTTTCAGCTAATGTGTTATCCATGTGAACAAGATTATTCATTCCCATGGATTCATAGTATGGAGAAGATGTCAAATCTTGCCTTTTGGGTGCCTGGGCTGACTCTCCTTCTGGTGTCGTACTTTGTATTTGAGGATGATGGACAAAAGAATCATGTGGATGCTCCGTGACTTTCACCCGTGAGACACTAGGGATTAACAATGAAGATATTTGACCCTTTTCAAGGTTCAGGGAGAAAGATTGACCATTTCCATTTTGGGAGCAGTAACCAGACTTTGCTCCACTTCGTAGCAACTGTGGATCAGAAAAGGCATGGGGCATCCCATGAGGGGAGTCTGTAATTCCATAAGATTCACCCTGTCGACAAATTACATCATCCAACAATGAAAGAGGAGTTTTAGAGAAGACCCTTTCCCTTTGCAAGGACCTTCCACCAAAAAATTCATCTCTGGGATTAACATAAACAGGAGTCACTAATTCCTTGCTAGGACCTCCATTGAGCTTCGTGGGCTGACTAACATCACCATGCTGATAAGGACAAGTGTCACTCACGTGCTGAGGATATATGCAACCAGCAGTGCTTATATTAGAGCACTCAGGATATAGCTGAGCATATGATGCATTGCTCTCAATGCTTCCCTGACATGAGTGGTCACCCAGTAATTGTATATAACCTGTGTTAGAACCTGATATCGGAATTGGAGCGGGAGGAATTGACAAGGGCCTTTGCACATTCAGGGAATCATTAAAAAGACCATCTGGAGAAGCATTTGGAGTTTTTGGAAGAACTGGAGTAAAGTTCAAATCTGCTCCCAACTGACTGGATGCATTTGTCAAATTTTGCCCACCGATGTTTGTTCTAGTAGAGTCTCCCATACCATTTACAGCAACAACATATTGGTAATCAGGATCACTCTGTTGAACAGCATTCACCTCTGTTGATGATGTCTCTTCGGATTCACCCAAAGGAACTAAAAAAATTCTAAGTTTTTGAGAACGTTCATGCCTTTCAAGCCCATGGTATTCCTCTTTCATATTTTGAAGATCTTCCTCAGAGGAAACAGATATTAGAGCATCAAGATCCTCTCCTGGAAGCTGGTACTTTATTGTGTGAGGTTGATTGCAAATGCCCAAGGTCTTCTGCATAAGCTCTTGCCACGCCATATCCTTTTGGATAGATATGATGTGGGTCTCTCCGCCTACATATCTGAGTTTCCCATCACTGGGTCTTGGTAATATTTTTCCACCAAAACTGCACAGAAACTTCATTTTCCCAGACAGAAAATCATCTACGACTCCTGAACCAGAAAATCCATTGGACTGAGAAGCTTCATATCTACAAAGTGGTGATACAACTGCGAGACCAGACTGGTCACCCACTGGTTCTTGAACAGCCTTCCTCAACATACCATCACCCTTTTGAATTTTGTTTGAAATGTTTACAGAAGCTCCATTTTCCATCTCCTGTACTGACTGTTTTAAAGATAAAAAGTCAGATATATCAGAAGAATTCTCAGAGTTCATTCTCCTCAGCCCCAAAATGTTAGTAAGATCTTCATATCTCACATTGCCATTCTCTCTAGTCAAACCAAACACATTCTCATGATTTCGTGGTATATCTGGTGAAACAAGAACCCTTCCAGCAGCAATTCCATCACGACCAACATTCACGTAAAATTCTTCCCCTGCCTCCATAGTGATATTATTTTGCACATGATGCCCTGTACTTGAAACACTAGCAGATAGATCTTGTTGGGCATGTTGAGGAAACATGCTAGGATCCTTACCAATATTGGTACCTAACATGGTTCCTGTCTTATATAGTGCCCTTTTCTCATCGTCTCTCGTAACTAACTCTTTTCATAGTGCCGGTATAGTAACAAGCCAAAAGTGTAAACATCTGACTAACCAACAAATTCGTGTCTAATTCCTTCTTTCTACTGACACCCTAGTTCTCTATTCTCAACGGTCAAATACCATATCAAAGATAAACAAAACAAAGGACATATATTTAAGGATACTGAACGGCAGCAAGAAATCATGTACAGTCTCTCACAACTGAAGAGAGGAGGATCTCATCTTCTAGCAATTAAACACAGAATCAATGCATTCATCGACAACAAAACATAAAATACCCGCTTTTTCTAAGTTTGTCTAGCTGTGCATATACAAACCAATCAATCTTCAACTCTTTAGAAGGGCCAATAGTCCATGACAAACTGATGAGTATTTCAGACCAAGTTGTGAGCCACAAAACCACCTATCCTTCAAAAGGCAACATTAGCAAATCAGAAGCAACAAACACAACAATATCAACCCGTGCTTGTATGAATTGCAGGCGGGAATCAAACTATCAATCAAAACACAAAATTGTCCTACTTTAAGAAGTTGGCATCCAAGAGACAAAAACAAACAAAACTTGTACAAGCCGTCCATGCAAGGGCTCAACACGGGTTATCAATCAAAATCCAATCGTCTCCACATTCCAAAACTGGACTCAACATAAAAAAAAAGTTCTGATTAATAAAGGTGACACCAAAGGCAACAAAAAGTGAACCTTTTGAAGATGTTCATACGAGAATTCAACATGGGTATCAACCATAATTTTCCAGATTAAACAAATGGGCACCCAACCAAAAAGGGCTATTTTTAATAATAAAAAAAGCCAGAAATCAAGGGAAAATGAAACCATCCTGTGATCAACAAACTTTATTTTCTATCTTCCAAAAGTGCTACAATCGAAGCAAACATATCAGAGTGAAGAAAGAGAAGAAGAAAAAAACAAAATTGGTTCCCGGATTTGAATACAATTGAATTGAATTGAGAAAAGATTGAAAGTATGGGAAAGGGTGAACGTAGCTTACACACGAAGGTTCAATTTCTGCTTCGGAAAAGCGACATTGGCGAAATGGCGAGAATTAAGCAGCGACAACACACGGTGGCCATAACCATGAAAGCAAGTTTGGATCTCACACCACACACAGTCTCTTTTTCTCTCTCTTCTCCCTACTTTTGTTGCATATTCTTGTTCCGATGTTCCTACGTGGACACATTCTTTTTGTGTTTGAAATTTTCTGGAATGACAAACAATCATCGGAAAATAATAAAATAGTACAAAAAGATACCAAAGGAGAAAAAATTAAACTTTAAAAAGACTCTTTCTTTCGTGCCACCCTCCACTTTTTCTAGTAATAAATTATTCTGGAATTTTCCTTTTGTTTTATTTATTTTGCTGTATGTCATACGTCGTTAGTGTGATTCTTTTTCTGACTTTTATAAAAGAAAAAACTTAGGCATTAAATTTTAAGAGTAATTAATACGTACAATAGTAATGTAAAAGGGGTTTATATTATTTTTCAATCAAATACTAAGTACAACAATTTTATTAATTTTGTCATAATTATTTTTAAAAAAATTTAACATAATTTAGCTTAATTGTGTAAACATAGTGAAACAAGTCATATTATCTACACTTAGATTTTTTTTCTCGTATTTTCGTAAATGTTTAATTTTAATAATTATAAAAATTTGATTATACATTAATTTTAAATATACGAATTTTAGTCATGGTTATTTTATTTAATAATATTGTTAAGCATATTTCTTAATAGCTTATACGGATAAGTTATTTGCATACTATTAAGTACGGGTGATGTTACGATTTTAAAAATGAAGGACTAAGATTTTGTAGTTAATTTGTTATAAATAGACTTTTTTCTGATATTTTTATATAGAATAAAACTATAATATTTTTTGAAATTACGAGGTTAGAATAATTTATTTTATTGCATTAAATAAAATAGATTATAGAAGAATGTGTGGCTTTTTTTATTTGGCCCCTCGTTAGCTACAAAAGTGAAATCAGAGACGGTTTCTCGTGTGGTGCGGTGATGATGTGTCAATCTCAAAAATAAAAAAATAGGAACTACGTGCTTCCCTCCAATCGAATCCTTCTTATGCTGTTAGACACTTGTTTTATGTCATGTTACGCTTCTCTGTCTCCTTTCGTAGGTCAGTTTCATAATTTACTTTTAAATAATTAAGAAATTTTATACTTTTTTACAGAGAAAAAAATATCAGTTTAAGAATTTTTTTTTATTTATTTATTCATCAACATAAGTCGAATACAAATTAAAGTCAAGTACATTATAGTTAAATATTTTTCTCTCAAAAAGCTATATATCCAACTGAAAATATGTTTATAATAGAAACACAAATAGATAAATCCTAATATCCTTCTTAACTAGGTGGTGGATATTACACAGTTTTCTCTTTTTGAAAAAATTGGAATACTTGTGTGCAAATAACTTCAAATTAAAAATGTACTCCAGAAAACAACAATAACAAATTCTTTTTAACATGAAATTATTGAAATATTTAATATTATGGTGATATTTTTGTAACATGAGGGTTTGTCGGGCTTGCTCTCCTTTCTAATTTTTATTTTTTTTGTTTTCTATTTTTTTAAGGTTAAACCCCTTCGGAAGTCCCTAATGTGAGGTTTTCTCAGTTAGATCTCCGTCTTATAGGTTTCGTCAATTTAGTCCTTGATATTGAAAAATTAATTGAAATCGGCCATGCCGTTAAATTTAGTTAAGGGGGTATAGTTTTGGATGCCCTGTGCGGTTGACTTGGCCTTTTTTTGAGACGTGGCTTGAACTGAGCATTATATGTGGTTTTTAATTTCCAATGACCCTTTTACGTGGCAATTTTTAAAACAAACATTTTTAAAATTAGGGTTCATTGAAATTGGGATAAAAATTGGAAGAGGAAATCTGAAGTGGAGTGTATCGAAAGCACACACAAACTCCTTAGTAGAGAGGGAATTTGGTAAATTAGGGCATTGGAGGTTGCTATCTGAAGGTTGGACGTGAATCGCGAAGTCCTTCAACGTGTATCGGCAGCGGTTGGTGTGAATTTTCGTGGAAGGTTAGTCTTTATACTATAGATAGATATGAATTTAATATTCGGTGCTTTTTGTTGATATCTGGCCATGCTTTTTTGAATGTGGGGTTGGGGTTGTCTGAAAATAGATTGTATGCATATTGCGGTTGTGGTCCCGCATGTCCCCATAGTTAAAGTTCCTTGTCTACTGTCATTATCAATTGATGAATGTTTTAATATTTGGTGTTTTTTGTCGTTTTACATTTATTTATAGGTGTAGAATATTCTTTATTGTGTTGTATGTGATGGAGGATGATATAGAGGTTGTTATTCACCATGGGGGGAAGTTGGTGAACGAAGGGTGCCTCAAGTATGAAGGGGAAAGTGATACTATGTATTTTGACCCTGACCTGTGGAGTTACTTTGTTGTAGTGAGTGTAGTAAAAGGGCTTGGGTAGGATGGATTTAAGGATTTGTGGTTTTCTGTTGGATGTGGTCCTGTATTGGATGATAAACTAGAAGCCTTGTGTGGTGACGTAGGAGCCATGCATATGGTCAATTTAGCTAGGTTAAATGGTCAGGTTCATTTATATGTTGTGCACACTATGTCTGAACCTGAAGTCGTTCAAATGATTGAATATAATGTTGATGAAGGAGGTGAGGAAGTTGAACCTGAGATGCATGAGGGTGGTGAGTGTGCAGTGTTGGATGAAAGGATAGAAGAAGATGATCGTGGTGTAACTTCACAGTTTGGTGAGGCCACAGATGATGGGGTAGGTGGTGATGGTGAGAGAATAGAAGTTGATGTTGGTGAGGGTGACAAAATAGAAGTTGATGTTGGTGAGGGTCAGAGAATAGAAGTTGATGCTGGTGAGGTTGACATAATAGAAGATGATGTTGGTGAGGGTGAGAGAATAAAAGTTGATGTTGGTGAGGTTGTCAGAGTGGAAGTTCATGTTCGTGAGGTGATAGAATAGAAGTTGATGTTGGTGAGGGTGAGAGAATAAAAGTTGATGTTGGTGAGATTGACAGAATAGAAGATGATGAAGGTGATGTTTAAGGTGACATAGTAGAAGTTGATGAAGGACATGATGTTGAGGGTAAGAGAATAGAAGATGATGAATCACATGATGATTGGACATAAGCAAATGATGTTCAGGAGACAATAGAAATTCATGAAGCACATGATCAGAGTACAAAAGCAAACGATGTTGAGGAGACAATAGTGGTTGAGGGAGCACATGATGAGAGGACAGAAGTAAATGATGTTGAGGGTGAGACAATGGAAGTTGATGAAGCACATGATGAGAGGACAGGAGTAGAAGAGTTGGAGGACATAGAAGTATAAGTCCATGAATGAAGTACATCAAATGATAATGGTGAGGTAAATAGTATGGATGGGTTAGTAGACATAAATATCCAGTGTGACTTCAGAGAAAGTGACAATTATGGTAATATGGAGGTTGATGGCAGTGCTCTTCCTGAGTCAGATTTGGAAGAAGAGGATATTAGTGATACCAGTTTATTCACTGATGAATGGGAATCTGAGGAGTTAACTTCTCCTGACATCTAGTGATGAAGAAAGTGATGTTGAAGAGGAATATGGGAATTTTATTACATTCACTATGCCAAAAAATATGGTTGATTTCAACTGGGAGGTTCACAACCACAGCTCAATGTGATACCTTGGTAAATAACATGTCAAAAGCGTTTAATAGTGTTTTGGTTCACACAAGGACAAAACCAATAATAACAATGTTGGAGGAAATCAGACTTTACATCATGAAAAGATGGGCCACTAATAGGTCAAGGGTAAGGTCATTTAAGTCATCAATTTGTCCAAAAATACTCAGTAGACTACAAAAGGAGGCACTACTAACAAAGTACTGGATTCCCAGGTAGAATATTCTTGATTTCTTTCTTTATTTGAAGTCAGACATGTGTCCCAAAGTGGGGACAAGTTTGTGGTGAACATAGATGAATATTCATGCTCCTGCAGAAAATGGAGCATTAGTGAAATACCTTGTGTTCATGCATTGGCAGCAATGAGGTTTCTCAACCTAAATGGAGAGGATTACATACCTGTATGCTTTCTCACTTCAACGTATGAAGAAATGTACTCCTCTATTATTTATCCTATTGATGGAAACAACCTGTGGGAGGTAACCGAATATCCAAATGTCATGCCTCCATCAAAAAGAAAGTTGCCTGGTCGTCCTAAGAAGAAAATGAGGTTAGAGCAGTTGGAGTTGAAGAAAAACAACACCAGAATGAGCAAAGGTGGATTTGTGAAGGTGGATTTGTGAAGAGATGTAGCAAGTGTAGGGAAGTGGGTCACAACAGAACACGTTGTCCCAAGACAAACCAAGAACCTGTTGTGCAGGGACACGGAGAAGAACCCACTTCATTGGCTGAGGCTAAAGCACATGGAGAAGAACCACAACAAAGTTGAACAATGTTTTAAGTTTTATGAAAGCAAATGTAATAGATAGATCAAAGTTTGACGTAATACATTACAACACTCTTTTATGAACAATGTTTTATCTTTCAGTATTATATATATTGGTATTTGTATCAACAATGAATGTTATTATTGTATGACAGAGTTATTATGGGATATGTGATATGTTATTGTTGTTATTATGGGATATCAATGGCAGGTGATGTGCACATTTTATGCAGATTTGATTCAAAAATTTTATTTCTTAGAAATGTGATATGTCAAACCTCAATAAACTACATCAAATATGTCAAACACGAATAAACTACATCAGTAGTGATACTATGTTACATTGGTTCATTATAGGCTTATGTGACATGTGATTTCATTAATCATTACAAACAAAATTAATCATTAATCATTAATCATTAATCATTACAAGTACAATCAAGAATAATGTTCACTGCAAATCTTCATTTCATTAATCATTGAACATCTTCATTACAGTAATAAAAAGAACCACATTGCAACTAATAGATCTTCATTACATTCAACAAAAATACATTAAACTGGCCTTCATTACACCTTCACATAGGAATAGATTATGATGCCCTTCCCATCAACATTGCAAGTACAATGATGTTCATAACACATACAATACTAACAACCCCAACCAAAAATTTTGTCCACCTTTGAAGACCCATCACGGCTTTCTGCACAACACCTATCTTCTTATCACTTTCAGTTTCAAAACTCTTCACCAACCTCTCATCATTT